TCTCCTGGGCAGTAAAGGACTGAGGAGCAGCTCTGAGCTCATCTCGGGTCTTGCCCCTGGTTCCCGGCCCAGAGCTCCTACTCCCTAGGAACTTCCTGGGTGCAGGAGTGTCCCAGCGTCCTGGGGGGGGTGTCACCAGAAAGACCAGGCCAAGATTGGAAGCTTGGAGCTTCCAGCTCCACCCCATCCTCCGGAGCAGGGCCGGGGCTGACAGCAGGGCCACGTGATGAAGCTCCCGTCCAGTCCTGGGGGGCTTCCAGGTTGGCAGCTTCCTCGTGCCAGGAGGACGGCCCACCCTGAGCCGCAGGGACAGGGCTCCTGGGCACGGGCCCTTCCAGATGCCGCCCACGCACCTCATCAGGCTGCTAACGTGGTGTCCTTGGTAACAACGGGTGAATGTGTCCCCTGGTTCTGGAGCCATGAGGCAATATTCAAAACTGAGGAGGGGTCCCGGGAAGGCCACTTTTTAGCCAAGTTGGACAGAAATGGGGAGCAGGAAGGAAGACGGACACACGGTATCTGGCCTGGCAGCCTGGAGCAGGTGTGGGGACTTCGGGGACACAACGACCCGCCTCAGCCCTGAGTCCTCAGAGGCAGCCAGCGTCTCGGGAGAGGGACGGACACCTGCAGAGCCAGTGACAGCCGACAGGTCCCTGTGCCAAGCACGGGCACCGCCTTCTGCACCCTGGGGTTCACGCTGGCAAAGACCCCCCCCCCCCGGTTTCTCCCTGGTGAAGAGAGACTTTATGTCAAGGGACCCTGCAGGTGGGCGTGGGACGACGGTGACGTGCCTTGCCAGCGCCCGACTCAGCACGAGGACTCTGCCTTCCAGAGAGGAGTAACGGAGCCAGGGGAACCAGGTGTGGGGAGAGGGACAGGGGACGCGGTCACAGGACATCTTCTCCTGCGTCTGCCCCTCCCAGGAAGGGCGCTCTGAGGGTCGGGGGTCGGGCGCTCTGCTCAACAGTGGGGACAGGACGTCCTGCCCGCCCGCCTACCTGGGAAGGAGCCGAGGGAGAAGACAGAAGGGAGCCACCAGCACCTCAGAACTGGGGCCTGGCTCCGGCAGGAGGTTAGGGAGGCCTGGGCCGGGGGTGGAGCAAAGCTGCGTCCAGAATCTCCCATGAACTTCCCCGGGGCAAACGGACCTGAGAAGGCTACTAGAGGAGGCGCACAAGCAAACAAGGGCAGGAGCCAACAGAAGGAGAGCAGAGGAGGAAGCAGGGCTGGCCCAGAGGAGACGGAGGGGCTCAGCAGGAGCCAGGGGCGGGCAGCACCAAGGGCCATTCACAGGAGGCAGAGTGGAGCTCCGCAGGTCACCACGGGAGGGAAGGGACAGGCTCTGCTGACCTGCAGCCATCGAGAGGCCACTCAGACGGTCAGGCAAATCTGAGACTGAACCCGTGGCAGGCAACAGAGAAGAAGCACATGCAGGGGGCCTTCGTGAGTCCAGCACGGATGACCAAAGGCCCAGGAAGGACAGGGATCGGACAGCGGCTTAAAGACACGTAGGTCCTCACACCAATGACTGGTGTTGCCCTCGCCAGGATGAGCATCATGGGAGAGGGGAAAGGAAGAGCGTGAGAGAGCGTGAGTGGGAGTGTGAGTGTGAGTGTGCGACTGTGTGAGTGGGAGTGTGTGTGTGAGTGTGAGTGTGCGACTGTGTGAGTGGGAGTGTGTGTGTGTTGTGTGACTGTGTGAGAGTGTGTGTGAGTGTGTGACTGTGTGAGTGGGAGTGTGTGTGTGTTGTGTGAGTGTGAGTGTGTGTGTGAGTGTGAGTGTGCGACTGTGTGAGTGTGAGTGTGTGCACAGAAGTGTTACATGTTTGGATGGACAGAGATCATCAGTCTCGGCTTGTAGTTAGAGTGCTTCTCTCGTCTTTGAGGGAGACTTGCTAACCTGATAACCAGGTGGTTTTCTCCTTTATTTTCTTTAAAAGGTTTTAGAATTTCGCTGTTTATCTTTAGGTCTTTAATCTGTGCATTAGATTTTTGGGGGGTGAGGTACCACAGGGGCGCTCCACCACTGAGCCACATCCCAGCCCTATTTTGTATTTTCCTTAGAGACAGGGTCTCCCTGAGCTGCTTAGTGCCTGGCTTTTGCTGAGGCTGGCTCTGAACTCACGATCCTCCTGCCTCAGCCTCCTAGGCCTCTGGGATCACAGGTGTGAGCCCGTGCCCCTGGCTGTGCAGTAGATTTTTGCAGAAGGTATGGAAATAAACAGGTCACACCCTCCAACACAGCAAGGGGAAATGAGAAACATAATTAGCAGGAAAATCTCCCTGAAAGAACCCTTCAGAATACAGAGTGTGGGGAGAAGGAGAAGGAAATGTGCAAGGTTGTTGAGCAAGGAGAGCGCCGCTCCAGGGTCCAGGGGCGGGAGAGGAGCGAAGGTGTGTTTTTGAGATGCTCACTGAAGCTAAGGTGAGGGGCCAGTCCTTGAAGGCGGGAAAACGAATCAGCTCCAAACAGAATAAGTGATAGAAAGTCACATTTAGGTAAAGAATAACAGGACAGAGTGCGGGGAGCAGGGGAAGGAGGGAGACCGGTGTGTGTGTGTGTGTGTGTGTGTGTGTGTGTGTATGTGCGTGTGTGCATGTGCGCGTGTGTGTGTGTGAGAGAGAGAGCACAATGCTTCCACTAGCAAAAATGGTCATCTAAACATGGTGAGAAATAGCAACATGCAGAAAGAAGATAACTGTCTACTTAGCAAGAACACGTTACTATTTTTTTAAAGAATGAAGGTGAAATAAAGGCATCTTCAAACACTCAAAAAAAGAAAATAAAAGAACTGTAAGAATCTGCCCCAATGGATTGTCATTAGAGAGAATTCTAAGTAAATATGAAAATAATAATTAAATCCGATGCCTAAGAAATAACGATGCACAAAGGCAGTGAAGCAGGAGGAGACTGATTAGCAGAGCACAGCGCCTGGCGGGTTAGAAAGGCGTGCGTTGGTCTTGCCCATCAAAGATACGGTCTGGATGTGAGGTGTCCCCAAACTCACCTGTGGGACAGTGCAAGGCGGCTCAGAGGAGAATGACTGGGTTACAAGAGTCCTACCCCAGTCAGCGAATTCACCCCCTGACAGGATTAACCCTGTGGTCCCTGAAGAGGGGGTGTGGCTGGGGGAGGTGCTGACCAGGGCGTGGCCTTGGGGTCTACATTTGTATCTGGAGAGTGGAGTCTCTCTCTGTGCCTGATCACGGCGGGAGCTGCTTCCCTCTGCACAGTCTTCTGCATGATGTTCAGTCTCTCCTTGAGCCCCGAGGAATGCACTCCGCTGTTTATGGGTTGAGACCTCTGAAACCGCGAGCCCTTAAATAAACCTTCCCTCCTCTCCAGTTGTCCTGGTCGGATCCTTCAGTCACAGCAGTGAAGAAGTGACTGAAACAGGAGTGACAAGAATTAAAAAGCCTTTTGTGTTGCTCAGAGAGAGTCAAGATTCCCAATGGATCTCAGAATTCCTTATTAAAATCACATGGTAACCTCTCAAGGAATGAAAATGGAGTTTATAACTTTAAATTAATAGAGGAAGAAAATGGAACGAGGTAAAGGCACTTCATCCAAAGAAGTCAAGGGAGGAGAGGAAAGAGCAGAACTGGTGGGATAATTTGAAAGCCCCAAAACTGTATTCTAACTACAATAAATATAAATGAAGCAAACCTACTACTAAAAGACAAAGATCATCATACAGGATTTTACAAAACTCTAGCTACACATTATTTGTAATAGACACACCTAAAATATAAGAGCATAGAAAAATTGGATGCCACTCACTAAAAGCTCTATCAATACCAGGCCATGTGATTTCTTTGTAAAACATCTTACTAGAGATTAAAATCCTATTCACAATGATGAACAGTTCCATTAACTAAGAACTGTGTATGTACCTGATAACAGAGCATCAAAACATAAAACAAGAACTGATAGAATCATAAAGAGATCAGTCCACCACCATGTGGAACTCTCACTACCTCTCTCTCAGCAACTGACAGGTCGAGAAGGTGCGAGTTTGGGAGAGATACAGAACAGCTCATTAGCAAAATCACTACGCTTAATTTAAATGACACACATTGAACCCAACACCAGACAACCCAAGATACCTTATTACGTACATGCAATATTTCAGAATTCACCGCCCACCCCCGCCCCAAAAAAATTGAAATCCAGAACACTCCTGATCCCAGGCCCTTTGGTAGGGGACAGACAACCTGTAGCCCACAGATCTGGACCCAGTGTCCCCTCCAGTCACTGCCTGCACTGTCCTTCCCAGGACACGTGAGATCTGGGGTGAGAACTCCATTTTCATCTTTACAAACTTGTGCCAAACGGTTTTCTAAAGAGACTGGTACCAGTCCAGGTCCAAACAGAGAACTGAAGACACACTGGATCCAGGGGGGCCAGGAGAGAGGATTCCAAGGCCCTTCACACCAGCGCCCTTTAAGAACCGATGCTCTCTCTCCAACAGGAACCCTGCGGAGCAGATATTCAGGGACCAGTGAAGGGGAGCACGTGATCAGTATTTGCATCCAAGTCACCTCTGAGAGTCTAAAAATCAAAGCAGAAGCTGCGTCGTCCATATTAGGAAATATTCTCGTCCACAGTTGGGGGGGGGGCTCTGAACATTTCTGTGACAAAGTTGAGTGTGAATAGAAGAACAGGCTTCAACCCACAGGGTGACCTTCTTGGTTTTGTTTGTCATTAATCAGCCCCTAAAAACCACTGGAAGCCTCGGGAAACGGCTCGGTACATCCACCCCGAGTCCTAGCGCAGGCTGGAGTGTTGCTCAAGAAGTTTTCATTGTGTCCCATCTGCAGGAAATCTTTTAACCAAAGTGTTCAATAAATGAGTGCCAAGGACTGCCGCAGCCTGGCTGCAGAAAAATAACCGGGGGGTGACGAGCAACTTGTGTACATTGATCCAGCAGGAGTGGGAGCCGTTTATTGTAGGACAGGAGGGGTATATATATACTCCACACAGCTTATCTCATTAACATAAACTAGATACAGCCGTCAACCAATCAGGAATCTCCACACTTAATGGCTCGCTGGCGCCACCTCACAAACCACTCCCTCTGCACAATGCCAGGCGCCATCCTGACTTGTTTACAGACTCTAACAAAGGACTCTGAGCTCTGGAGCGTCAGTGAAGCGGAAGGATCAGGGACACTTGGTGCCAGAAGAGAGGCTACTATCCTCCCCAAAGCCAAGGTGGAGACATGAATTAGGTGCGGAGAGCGCCGTGGGGGAAGAGGTCCAGCGTTCAATGCATCCTTGTTTTAGGAATCCGCCAACACACGGGAGGTCCTTTTCATGAGAGTCCTCGTTCTAACTGGGAAAATTCATATGTGGAAGGGAAGGAAATGAAAAGGGTTTATTATTTTGGAGCATCTAAATTTGATGAAATGTTCAAAAGAATCATGATCTTTTTTTAAGTTTCGGCTCATAGAAATATTCATAGAAGAAAGTCCCCCGAACAGAGGCCAAAAGACTGGGGACACCTGAGCTGGGCCCTTTACCCATTTCAGTGGAGAAGAGGAGAAGCGAGAATAAATACCTGCATTCAGCCTCGTCCTCCTGAGCTCACCTGGCACCTCTGCCTGCAGAAAGAGAATCTTCCCAGTTAAAACACGGTCTGCAGAGAAGAAGAACCCGAAGACGCCAACAGACCCGAATCCACGTTCACAGAATGCAACTGTGGTGAGACGGAAAGACACCAAATCAAGAGTAAAAAGACCGCACTGAAGGAAGAAAATCAACTTTAGAAAATCATCAGGACACCTACAGGTCTACCCCCGCCGTAATCTGACGCGCTGGACGATACGTAAAGTTCAGGAAACACACGGTTTTAATCACCTTTACCACTTGCCCTGCAAAGCACCCCCACGCCCCTTGTGCCCGAGGGGCACCCTTTGCCATTCCCACCAGCAGGGAGGGTCCAGGTCCCCGCTCCGTCACCAGCACGTCATGATCTTTTAGAGGAGGGCAGCACTGGGGCTGGGAGTGACACGGGGTTTGGATCTGCGTGTCCTGGATGGCGGCCGAGGCCGGTATCTTTCCCGTCCGTCTGCTCTGCAGGAGGCCCGTTCAGATCCCTCCCGGCTCACTGGAAACCTGGGCTGTTCGTCTTTTTTTACGGAGTTGCCAGAGTCCTCTGTATACTCTGGATCGTGGACCCTCGTCAGATCCACAGGGTGCGAATACTCTCTCCCCTCTGTGTGTCCCACGTCCTTCCCCACCTGGACAAGTCATCTGAGGCGTGAACCCGTCGATGCTGGTGAAATCCGGTTTATCAATCCTTCCTCTTGACGCTTGGACTTGAGCGTCACGTGGCAGAAACCATCGCTCCTTCCCAGGCCACAGGCTCTGCCCAGGTTCCCTCCTGGCCTGACGGTGCTGCCTGTCCCTCAGGCCCTGGGTCTGTCCCCAGCAGCGCTGTCTGGTGGGAGGTCGGGGTCTCGCACACACTCGGTGCGGTTTCAGACACTCTTCCTGGCTTGCTGAATGGTGGTGGCCCCTGGCTGAGGAGGAGGTGACCGTGTGCGAGGCTTCGTATTCTTCATCTCTGCGGCTTCGTGGGCCGGTTTTGAAGTGGCAAAGTGTGGCCCTTCCACCTTGTTCTCCTGAACGATCGTCTTGCTGCGCGAGTTCCTTGGAATCTCTGCATGAATTTCAGATCAGCACACGCTGCCAGGCAGCCGGCGTCTCACGGGGATCGTGTTGAATCTGCAGAGAAATTTTTTAAAAAACAGAACACTTTTTTGTAGTTGCAGAAGGGCAGCAGGCCTTCATTCTGTCTGTTTTTATGTGATGCTGAGGATGGAACCCAGCCCTGGGGTGAGTCGGAGGAGCCTGCTGGTGCCTGGCTGGGGCGAGCAGAGGTGGCCGTCTGTCTGCCTGGTCACCCCCGCTGGGCTTCACCTAGGGAGTGGGACCTGGTGCTGAGCTCTCTCCTGCACCTGCCGCCTGGGGGGCCGCCAGCTTCTTCCATCCGAGTCTGGGACAGGTGAGGCCCGAGCAAACCCGAGCTCCCCAGCCAGCAGCCCCCTCCCCACCTGTGGGAGTCCCGTGGGGTTTCTTGTTAGGTGTGAGCTTTGGGAAGGAACAGGAAGAGCACATTTCCTCCATCTTCCTGGAAACGTGGGTCAGCCTTATTTTCTTTTAAAAGCCCCCCTCTCCCCTGCCCTCTCCCCGCATCCTGTTCTCTTCCCAGACAGCATCAGCCTTTATTTTCACGACGCACCCAAAAGAAGCTCACCTTAAAGTCCTTTCTTCAGATGGTTCCATTAATTTCATCTGAAGTTACTAATTCAGACTAGGGTTTATCAGCCATTCTTCTTCTTCTTTTTTCAGACATTCAAAACTTTATTTTTAAAAAATTGCCTTCATGATGGATTTGAATCTGGGAAGTCTGTTGTTCTCCACACAAAGAGCACATCCACAGGTTCAGCAGAGAACGTCATTCTTGAAAGAACATCATTCACAAGGTCAAAGATGACATCCACTGGCACGGACCCACCTTCCCCGGGGCAGAGCCATCCTGGGATCACTGAGTGCCACCGTTTCTAGGGTTGACTTGAAACCAGAATCTCTGGCTTAGTTCCTCTACTTCACACCGAGCAATAAGAACCAGAAATTCCACCAGGGAAAACGGCTCCTAGAAGAGTCCCCAGAGTTTCCACTCGAGACTCGGCTGGGTTCTTGTTTCCCACTGGCCCTTGGAGGGCCTCCCCAGATGGAGGTCCACGATTTGCACCTCTTTGGTGCCAAGGTGAAGGAAAACTCTGAGCAGATCAGGATACTGGGTGTAACCTGGGATATTTGAAAACACTGGCTCAGGTGAGACTGGACGTGCACCCACGGGTGTCGGTGTTTCCCAGGCCCCGGGGGTGGGGGTGGGGGTGTAAAGGAATCTGGAGAGGCCTGGCCTTCCGCCCACAGGACAACCAGCCCCTGGACAGAGCTGCCGGGCCTGGGTCCAATCCCGACCAGGAGCCAGAATTCAGGACAGGTTTCAGACACCAGGCCATGACTGACACAAAGGGCAGGAGGCGTCCTCCTGGTCACTGCTTCAGGCTACAGACCAGGGACCGTGGAGAACAGGGAGTCCTGGCCGGCTTCGGGGCTCTGGTCCCTCCCCTGCCCTCCCCAGCGGCAGCCGTTGGGGGTACCTCCCCCACTCCCTGGTCTGCAGTTCAGAAACGTGGTTTTTTAAATCCATGATCAAAGGGCCATGAGATCACGGCCGTGTTCCTCCTTGTCCCAGGGTCACCCCCTCGAAATGACCGAACCGGACTTCCCACACTACTTTCTGACGTGGGGGTGACTCTTCTCTCCCCTGGCCCCCACTTCAAGCAGAGAGCCTGGCTCTGCTGCTGCCCCGGGTCCTATCGTGCCTGCGACCCTGAGGCTCGGCTGTCGGTGTCTAGAGCACAGTGAAGCCCACTCCGTGAGTCCAGCGTCTGTCCACTGGTTTCTTGGTACAGTCTGCTGCCAGGTGGTCGCAGCAGAGACCTGTGCTCATGTCAGAACACAAGTCACAGCAACATCTGGATCAAGATCCAAATGTCCTTCCTCTGTTTTTCTTATTTTAAAAAATAATTTAATTTTGCTATATTTTATGGGCTGCAACCTTCTATCCCATTTGAAATAAAGTGAAAGCCAAATCAATGAAATTCTCTTTAATTTCATGTTTTGTTCATTTCTGAGGTGAATAAAATGCACCATACCTTCTGTGCCCCTAGGAATTTGAGGTGGATGGTGTCAACACACCTGGAATTCCACACCTGAGCTACAGCAGACCCCACATCTGAGCACAGCAACCCTGACACCCTGGACGAGAGACGGATGGGGACCACAGGAGAGGCCAGGATTTCTCTGTGTGTTTGGAATAACGGAGGGGGGTGGCAGAGAGGACGCGGCCAGTTTCTGCTTTTGAAGTCCCTGACCACAGTCACGGCTGTGCAGCTCCTGCCACTTCATACAGAAGACCTCACCAAGTTGTTCAAGGACACGGCTCCTATCTAAGTGCCGACACCCCCACACCCCATTCCCACCTCAGAGTGAAAGCCAGAGGTCTGAAGGAGTCCAGTCCAGTGGCAGGTCCAGTCCCCCTTCAGGCTGTGCCCTGGAAAGACGGGTAGGGGGTCCTTTCTCTCCAGCCAGGCCCCCAGCTCAGCAAGGTCAAGCTGGGAAGGCATCTGGGTCTCCAGTCACCACACTGGCACCCTTTGGTCCACTTTCACTCTTTGGCATTTGCCCCAGGGCACCTGGCAGAGAGAGAGGTTGGGATTTATGTGCAAGTGTGGTTTATAAAACTCCAGTGTGGAAAATAAGACCAGGACCTACCCACGGGGATGGTGGCACAGGATTTCCAGATGCTAGTCAGAAACTGAAAATCATGCTTCCCAACTATCCTTAGTGGGAAAACCCCTCAAATCCAGTGTGTTATTAAGGTCACAAAATGGTTCATAAGGAACAGATATTAGTGCTTTGTAGTAGGATATATCATAGAAAAAGGACGGGATGGAACTACAGAAATATTACTATTCCCTGGGTGAAAAAAGGTTAGATTTCTCTGACTTTTCAAGATTTGCTACAAAGAACATGTTCTACTGAATTTTAAATGCAAGTGCAATAACAAAAGGCAACTTCATTTTTAAAATAACCGCGACCCCTGTAAAAAGACCTTTGTAAGCACGAAAGGAACCTGCAGCACCTTCCTCGGTAAAGGTCTAACAGCAGCCACGGTTGCCGCTGATTGGCTGCCGCGGAGGGTCAGGGCCGGTCGTCCAGGAGGCGGGGCTTCTGCCCACT